CTTCCTAGGAGGGGCCTCAGGGGCGGTCCATTGCTCAGCTCTTGTGAGTCATGACTGACTTATAGTCTAATGCCATCTTCCTTCATCATCTGTCACATCAGCGGCCACACAGATCTCAGGTGCACATTACTGTGCTGGCCGAGCCCACCATGCACAGCAGAGCCTGCTCCATCCTTAATGCTGAAGGTGCCCTGAGGGTAGGGACCGAATCTCTTACTGAATTTGTAATCCCTCCACTCCCACTAGGGCAAACCATGTGTCTGGGTCTTCTAAAGAAGGAAGTGGTGCCGCCTACATAAGGTGGAGAAGATGCCACGTAGGATGGCGTGGGTAAAGCCAGAGGCTCCTAAGAGCACTGAAGGAAGGCTCAGTTCAGTGTCCGCCGAATGACACTTTTTGCTTTTCAAACCATTCTTGCATTTTTTCATAAACGTGACCCTCTACTAAAGTCCCCGCTCTTACAGTTCACACCTAGGGGCGTGGCTTACCTATGATAGTAGAATTTAATATAGAGGTTCCATTGCTGTGAAGGCGAGTGGGAGTCGTGTAACCAAACTTGATTCTCATTTGCCCTTCAGACCAAGCCAGTGGAGGAAGCATTGACTGGTCCTATGATTATGGCATCAAGTACTCATTTGCCTTTGAACTGAGAGACACAGGGCGCCACGGCTTCCTCTTGCCAGCCAATCAGATCCTGCCCACCGCCAAGGAGACCTGGCTTGGCTTGAAGTCAATCATGGAGCATGTGCGAGACCACCCCTATTAGGCCCCTGGCAAAGAAACAGGAGCTATTAAAATCTCTTTGGTCTGAAGCAAGTTGTGTTGTGTTGTTTATTTTTCTAAGCCTGATCTGGGAGCACCGTTTCTCTAGTTTCTGCTGCCCTCAAACACAGCAAGTCATGGCACTGTACCCCTTCGTCTTTTTAAAAATCCATCCTGAGGTCAGCCATGGTGGCTTGGACCTGAAATCCCAGCACTTTGGGAGGCTGAGGTGGGAGGATTGAGCCCAGGAATTTGAGATCAGCCTGGTCCACATGGGGGAGACCCCATCTCTAAAAATAATAATATTAAAAAAAATCCATCCTAAGCGGAGTGCTCCCAACATCATTTGACAGTTTTTTATTGTGTTAAATTACACATAAAACTGGCTGGGGATGGTGGCTCACGCCTGTAATCCCAGCACTTTGGGAGGCCAAGGTGGAAGGATCACCTAAGGTTGGTTTGAGACCAGCCTGAGCAACATGGAGAAACCCCATCTCTACTAAAAATACCAAAAATTAGCCAGGCCTGGTGGTGCATGTCTGTAATCCCAGCTACTCGGGAGGCTGAGGCAGGAGAATCGCTTGAACCCAAGAGGCAGAGGTTGTGGTGAGCCGAGATCACGCCATTGCACTCCAGCCTGGGCAAGAAGAATGAAACTCTATCTAAAAAAAAAATTATACATAAAAATTACCATTTTGATCATTTTTAAGAGTACAGTTCAGTGGCATGAAGTACACTCACAGTGTTGCGCCGTCCCGTCATCCATCTCCAGAACTTTCCAGTCATCCCAAACTGAAACGCTTCCCATTAAACCGTAACTCCCATTCGTCTTGCCCTTCAGCCCCTGGCAACTACTAGCTACTTTCTGTCTCTATGAATTTGCCTATTCTAGGTACTTCATATAAGTGGAATTACATAGTATTCGCCCTTTTGTGTCTGGCTCTGTCGTCCAGGCGGCAGTGCAGTGGCACAATCTCAGCTTGCTGCAACCTCCACCTCCTTGGTTCAAGTGATTCTCCTGCCTCAGCCTCCCAAGTAGCTGGAATTACAGGCACATGCCACCACACCGAGCTAATTTTTGTATTTTTAGTAGAGATGGGGTTTCAGCATGTTGGCCAGGATGGTCTCAATCTCCTGACCTTGTGATCTGCCCGCCTTGGCCTCCCAAAGTGCTGGGACTACAGGCATGAACGACTGCATCTGGCTGTGTCTAGCATCTTTTTTTTACTTAGCATAATGTTTTCCAGGTTCTTCCGTGACATAGCATGTGTCAGCCCCTCCATCTTCAGAGTGCAGCTTTTTAGGGCTAACAGTGGACTTTCAAGTTCATTTATTTAATAAATACTAATTAAACAGCTGCACTGTGCCAGGCCTTGTGCTCGGTGCTATACCTGGTTCCATTGTTGCCTTTGGTTTTTTATTTCCTGGTGTGCTGCTTTATGAAGACTGGCGGGGCAGGGCATGGCGGTGACTCAGGCCTGTGATTGCAGCACTTTGGGAGACTGAGGTTGGAGGATCTCTTGGGGCCAAGAGTATGAGACCAGCCTGGACAACACAGTGAGACCCCGTCTCTACCAAAAAAAAAAAAAAACCAACTTGTCATGGTGGCAAACACCTGCAGTCCCAGCTACTTGGGAGGCTAAGGTGGGGGGATCACTTGAGCCCAAGAGTTTGAGACTGCAGTGAGCTATGACCACACCGCCGTACTCCAGCCTGGTCAACAGAGTGAGACCCTGTCTCAGAAAAACAAACACAAAAAATACTGATGGGGACCCAAGCCAATGACATCCCTTCTTCCTGGTTGCCCTGTCGAGCCTGGGTCTTAGGTTGCACACAGTTTCTCTTTAGATACTGACTTTCATTAGGGATTTAGGTTTTCTTCATGTTGATGGTTTTACCTGGGAGAAAAAGGTAGGAACTAAATTTCAGCTTGCCTAGAATTCTGGGTCCTTGATTCTTCCATTTCACGTCTCTTACAGATTTGGGACTCAGTTGCTTTTGCTGCTAACTTCAAAGCTGACATCGATCTCAGTGACACTGAGTGCAGCCTTCGTAGTGGACAGGGTGGGTGTAGGAATTCAATTTAAGTGTTGAGAGGACAAAAGGAGCCTAAGAGAGCAATAGGAGATGATGGCCCCTCGCTCCAGAGCTCCCGACAAAAGCTCTCTCCAGGACCACACTTGAGATTCTGTGCCTTCTTTTTGACTGGGCTGGTTCTTGAGCCCTGGCTAAGCCAGCCTGAGCAAAAATCCTACTAAGTCATTCCTCCCGCCTTGATATCTGATCAAGTTCCTCATTCCTACATTTGATGTTCAAGTCCTTGGCTTGCCTTTAGCAAGAATTCCCCTACCTCAATGTCTTCTCTTAGTAATCCCACGGATACCCCCCATTTTCTTTGCTGTATTCGGTGCTGAGCATAGTAAGTCTCTCCTATGGTAACAGCCGTGGTCCCAATCATAATAATCTTGAATTAGGTCTTACATTTATTATTATTATTTATTATTTTTTGAGACAGAGTCTTGCTCTGTCGCCAGGTGCCAGGCTGGAGCACAGTGGTGCAATCTTGGCTCACTGCAATCTCCGCCTCCTGGGTTCAAGCAATTCTCTTGCCTCAGCCTCCGTAGTAGCTGGGACTACAGGTGCATGCCACCACACCCAGCTAATTTTTGTAATTTTTAGTAGAGGCGGGGTTTCGCCATGTTGGCCAGGATGGTCTTGATCTCTTGACCTTGTGATCCACCTGCCTCAGCCTCCCAAAGTGCTGGGATTACAGGCGTGAAACACTGAACCCGGCCTTTTATTTATTTTTATTTTTTTTATTTTTGAGAGGAAGTGTCTCACTGTCATCCAGGCTGAAGTGCAGTGGTGTGATCTCGGCTCACTGCAACTTCCGCCTCCTAGGTTCAAGCAATTCTCCTGCCTCAGTCTCCCGAGCAGCTGTAATTACGGGTGCCCACAACATGCCTGGCTAGTTTTTTGTATTTTTAGTAGAAATAGGATCTCACTATGTTGGCCAGGCTGGACTTGAACTCCTAACCTTGTGATCCACCCGCCTTGGCCTCCCAAAGTGCTGGGATTACAGGAGCAAGCCACTGTGCCCGGCCTAGGTCTTAGATTTTAACACAAGTCGGAATAGTTTTTCTTTAACTCTCTCAACTCCCCTTGGGTGGGTATGGAAAGCATGTAGACTGTAAGGAGGGTGGGATGGGAAAGGCTGTGGGAACTGAGCTCCCGGGACAGATTCAATGGCCCCAGAGTCCCTGAAGAAGTTATGGAGATAATGAGCATCTTCCATTTATTCAACTGTGACTTCGCAGAAAGGACACCAGACCCACTTTCTTATACTTCTAGGAAGTACAAGAAAGTCTTATTATTAGTAATATCGTTTAAGCCTTCCCTGTAGCTCAGACTCCAAGAACACTGATAATTTATTCAGACTAAAACATCCCTTCTGTATCATTGGCCTGATACGTTTCTATTTTCTTAGTGGAGTCATAAGAATTAGGCCTCAGATCCATAAAAGAGGCCACAAACCTCTTTCCTCATCCTGCCCTGCCCTGGTGAAGTTCTCCGGCAGGGCTTGTCAAGCATGTGGTCTTTGACCAGCTCAGGGTTGCTTCGATAGTCTTCATTTTTTTTTTTTTTTGAGACAGAGTTTTGCTCTTGTTGCCCAGGCTGGACTGCAACCTCTGCCTCCTGGGTTCAAGTGATTCTCCTGCCTCAGCCTCCCAAGTAGCTGAGATTACAGGTGCTTGCCACCACGCCTGGCTAATTTTTTGTATTTTTAGTAGAGATGGGGTTTCACCATGTTGGGCGGACTGATCTCGAACTCCGGACCTCAGGTGATCCATCTGCCTCGGCCTCCCAAAGTGCTGGGATTACAGGCGTGAGCCAACACACCTGGCCAACTTTTTTTTTTTTTTAAATTCTAGAGGTAACCCCATCCCAGGTTTACAATCTCACCTCTCCTATCAGTATAAATTCCATCCAACACCATGAGACTTTCTTATTCACTCAAAAAACACTATTTAATGCCAAGTGATGAGCAATATGGCACCCTTGGCACACTTTTCAGCCCCTGGAGCAAGTTCCTGACCTTGTAAATTGAGAGGCTAATCTTTATCACTTGAAAAGAATGGGAGAGGCATTGGTAGGGCCTGCCTGTCGCACTGTCAGAGTTGGAAGGGTGCTTGGGAATCAATTAGCATTTTTGAGGACTTGAGTCACCCACAGACTCTATAAATACAGCTTGACTTGGCCCCTGTAGGACTGACTCCCCTGGGATATGAGGTGGATACTGTTCATTGGGGCCCTTATTGGGTCCAGCATCTGTAGCCGAGAAAAATTTTTTGGGTAAGTTCCTTTTGGACTTCTTCTTATTTGGTTATCTCAGAAATATGGGAGCCGAATGGGACTGAAAATGAATGGCTGATGATAGCTGACATGGAGGAAGGAGAGCTGGGCTCTTGTTCCAGCTTTGTCCCTGTGTCATCCTGGACAAGTCCACTCTCTTCTCTTCTCTGAGACCTGATTTCATCTGTGAAATCAGGATTAGATGATCGCTGCGGTCTCTCCCCAGCTCCCTCATCTCCTGCCATTCTTTTTCTGCCTAGTTCTTTTTGTAATAAGGTCAGTTCTAGGCATCTCCTTTCTTACTCCTACATTATTAATTACCGAGAGTTACTGATTACCAGAAATGGTTTGTTTCCAATTTCTGCCATGCTTACAGGGAAAACCTGGGTCTCAAGCTTGTTGATTTCACTCCTTTGTTAATGGCGAAGGCTTTGCAGAGCTGGTGCTTTCTCTTGATCTGCAGTCCAGTGTTCTAGCCCTGAGCTACCCCTTCTGAGCTGGTACTTTCTCACTGGATTCTGGGATGTGGAGATTTCACAGGTCTTGCCTTGACACAGCTATGAAAATCACATGCAGAGACACATGCCTGTACACCGTGTGCGCGTTTGTGTGTGTGTGTGTGCATGCGCGTGCGTATATCCACATGTGCTCAGCACACTCCAAGCAGAATGCTTTGAGGTTTGCAAAGGAGTGACATTTGGGTGGTAGGAGAGGTAAAAAGGATACCATGGTGCCCTGCGAGAAAACTGAATTATAATAACTCATTACTGCATAATACTTTTCCATTTGCAAAGAGCTTTCATGTACATTATCTTTTCATCACAACAACTTTGCCAGGCAGGGGTGTTATTTTCTTCCATTTAAACATGAAAAAAAAAAGCCTTAGAAATGTTAAGGAACATGCCCAAGGCCACTTAGCTGGGAAGCGGGGGAGCTGGAACTCTGAATGTAAAACTCGTATTCTTTTGCTATAACACAAGTTTATTTCCAGATAAAATCCTGTGTTTCCTGGATCTATCTCTTAGCTCACTTTCTGTTTTACTATCTGGCTAATGGAAATTTGGGTTGTTTTTTGAGATAATTACTTATATGAGATTGGCTAATTTTTATGGTGATGACTTCTGTACACACCTGTGTCTTTATTGCCAAATAGCTCAGAGGGGTTAGGCTAGCAGGTGGCCAGGGAAGAGATTTTCCTGCAGGCGGCTCAGCAGTAGGTGTGTAGTGACTAGACTTGCTGCCATGTGGGCTGACTCATGGAACCGTCAGGCTCCTACTGCACCTATTCATGTGGCTGAAAAAAATCTCTATTTCGCAAGATACAGACCTCTCTTGCAATCCAGTGGGCACCTGGGCTGCGGCAGCTGGGCCAGGCCCTAGAATTCTCTCTGCAGGAATTCTACGCAGAAAAAGCTGTGTGCCTGAGCTGATTGCAGATGGTTTTAACTGACAGTGTCATTCTCATCCCCAAATCTGTTCTCACGCCACAGTTGGAAACCTAGCAAAGGTAGTGGAATTCTTCCTGGGCTCTCTAGAGATGTTCCAGACACCCAGAGTTTACAGCAGGGGGAACATTGAGAGCAAGGGGAAGCGGTCTCTGAGCATTCAAGTCGTTGGGAAGCCAGCCTCTGGATTGGCTGCTGAAGATGAGGATGATGGTTTCTCCCCACCACCCATTCCCCTCCCTTCTATCCGCCTCACCTATCTCCTCAAGTCTCTCTTGCTCTACTGGCGTCTTCTGTCCTGGTCTTCAGACATCTTCAGGATGGGACAATGGCCAGGATGCCTAGAGGCGCCAGGCAGGCAGAGAACAGGAAGCAGTTGCAGAGCTGGTTATAGCATCAGCATCAGCAGGAAGCTGGCAGGCATCTAAGAGTTCTGTGAAACCATCTCTTAATACTCTTTGTGGTGGCTGCTAAGCCTGGCTGGGGAGGCAGGTGAGAAAGGCACAAAGAACGGGACACTTGGCTGCCAGCATGGTGAAAGGGGAGGGATAGATGCTCAGTCACCAAAGTGGGTATGGACTGTGTAAAGCACAGATGCCTGTAGGGGTAAGGGAGAGGTGGTGCCAGCCATTGCACTGGCAGCAGCTGGGCGCCCCTGGCTATTGGAGAGGACTGAGTTAAGAGGAGCTGCGAGAACACCTGTGTGGAACAGGAGAGGCAAACATGGCCACCTGTAAATCCCAACACATCCCCCTCCCAGGCCAATCTTCCATCTTCAGAAAGAGTTCAAGGTCTTTGAGTGAATTTCCAGATAGTGGAGATGGGATATGCTTGACCATCTTGAGTCTCATGAACTGAAGAGAGTATATTCCAAACAGAGAGGAGGACAGTAAGGGCAAGAAGAAGGGCGCCCTTCACATGGCACCCTGAGACGTCCTTCCTGCTTCCGGGTGTCCCTGTGCTTCTGTTCATAAAGATAACGCTACCCCACTACCGCCCCACCAATGTTCAGTGCTATCTGAAGACTGCTAGGACTGGTCAGGAAAAGCTTCATGGGTGATGTGAATGGGTCCTAAAGATTCGATGGGACTAGATGGGCCAGACAGATAAGCTAAAGGATGGATTGCAGGCAGTGGGAACAGCATGAGTTTGGGCTGGGACCAAGGTGGGGTGGAAGGGAGAGGTGAAGAAGAGACAGATGGAATGGGCTCCACTCTGCACCTGCCCTTCTGCCCTGCTTGTTTACATGCTACAGACATTTCTTTAACCTCTGTAGCTTGGCTGATTAGAGCAGGATGAAATGGGACTGCGGATTTAATCATACTCAGGGCCAGGTAGAGACGCAGTGTCCCATTGTCCTGAACCACGCCCAGGAATGTGCACAAGTTCTGTTGTGAAGTCACCACTTTGGAAAAACTAAAATGCACGTGCTGGGTGAATGTGTAACATGATTTTTACACTCCCAGAGCTTCTTATTCTTATGCCCTCCTTTTTTTTCTCCTCCTGTTCCTTCTCCCTCCCATTTCCTCTTTGTGATTGCTATAGTCAGTGCTGTGTTTTACATATGCCTAATTGCGCGAATAAATATGTAGCCACGCAAGAGCTTTCTAGAACCCCCATTTTTTTGTTTTTGGAGACAGGGTCTTGTTCTGTCAGCCAGACTGGAGTGCAGTGATGCAGTCATAGCTCATTGCAGCCTTGAACTCCTGGGATCAAGCAATCCTCCTGCCTCAACCTCCAGAGTAGAGAATCCCCATTTTATTTATTTATTTATTTATTTATTTATTTTTGAGACGGAATTTCGCTCTTGTTACCCAGGCTGGAGTGCAATGGCGCGATCTCGGCTCACCGCAACCTCCGCCTGCTGGGTTCAAGGCAATTCTCCTGCCTCAGCCTCCCGAGTAGCTGGGATTACAGGCACACGCCACCGTGCCCAGCTAATTTTTTGTATTTTTAGTAGAGACGGGGTCTCACCATGTTGACCAGGTTGGTCTCGATCTCTCGACCTCGTGATCCACCCGCCTCGGCCTCCCAAAGTATTTATTTATTTTTTAAAGAGAATCCCCATTTTAAAGATACCCCCTTTCTGGAGTGTTGGAGGTAAGTTGTGACACAGCAGGGGTTCAGTAGACCCCCTTTACTCGTCCCCATCCAGGAGTAAAGATTTCCCTTCTGTTTTATTTATTTATTTATTTTTAATTTGAATTTTTTGAGATGAGGCCTTGCTCTGTTGCCCAGGCTAGAGTGCAGAGGTGCGATATAGCTCACTGCAGCCTTGAACTCCTGGGCTCCAGTGATCCTCCTGCCTCAGCCTCCTGAGTAGCTGGGCCTACAGGCATGAACCACTATGCCCAGCTAATTTTTTTTTTTAATGTTTTTTGTAGAGACAAAGTCTCCCTATTTTGTCCAGGCTGATCTTGACCTCCTGGCCTCAGGCAATCCTCTCCCCTTGGTTTCCTGAAGCACTGGGATTACAAGTGTGAGCCATCGCACCTGGCTCCATTCTGTCCTACGTCGGTCCCTTTTTTTCAAGGATGCTTGCTCAGGTCAGGGAAAGGGCAGGTTTGACGCCTCATCTGAAGCCTGTTGGGTTCAGACTGAGACCTGCCCAGGCAGTGGCATCTCCGCAGGGCCATTGGCAGTGCCCACAGGATGCAGTTACCCACTCACCTCCAGGACCCTGTGGGGACCAGGTGGGTTGGGAGAAAGGGAAGCTTCAGCACTGGCATCTCCTCCAAACCAGCCACCTGCAGCAGGAGCGGCTCTGCAGTGGACCTTGACTCCTTGAGACTAGCCTAGACCTACTGGAGAGCCCCTAGAACGTTCCAGAACCCAGCAAAACCCTGAAGGACTGTCTGGATGAAATCGGTTTTCTGATGAGGAGCTGCCCCATGAGGCTGCACGCTCAGCTCCCTGTGACAGCCATTCACTCTCAACAGGTCCTTGAGCCCACAGCGGCTCTCCTCGAATTCACTTGTGTCAAAGGCATGACGCAGTCACAGCGTTGAGTGCAGATTCATTGTGGCCGTCTCCTAGCAACGGCCTAATGGCTCCCCTGTCTCCCCAGCCAGCTGAGAGCACAAAGGCAGCTTTTCAAGCCCCGCTTTCTCCCACCCACACACAGGACTTCGGGGTCCACTACACCTACCGCCTCTGCGGAAGCTAAATCACGTACATGAAGCAAGCTCAGGACAAAGGGCACTGAGACTGGCCGGCCCCGACTGTGCCCTCTAAGGGTCCCCTCTTTCCCCCTGGGGAGGAGGAGACCCAAATCCAGCCTCAGCACCATGGGCCATGGTCAGTTTCCACCCAAACGAGTCTGTGTATGGGGTTCTGGAGCTGGAAGGGACTGAGAGAGGACCCAGCCTCCTCTCCTGGGTTTAAGAGGGCACAGCTCGCCCTCCCAGCACGGAGATGCTGTTTCCTTTCCAGCATGGAGGTTCCGCCAGGGTTTCAGTCCTCAGCCCTGACAGTGAAGAAGTGCTTCTTTAGGTCTTGAGTTAGCTTTGCATGTAACTCAGGCACATTCCTTCCTGTAAAATATATATGTTTTTCATTATAAAGTAATATGACCACATTACAGAAAACAGATACAAGGGGGAAAAAAGTAAGTCATCCATAATCCCACGACCCGAACATAAGGGCTGTCAGCATTTGGTATATTTCCGCTGTCTGTTTTTCTTCCAATGCATCTGCTATTTCCATACTTGTAATCATGGCATACATACAATTTTGTGTCCTGCTCTTTCACTTAATATTTCCCTTAAAGTTATGCCATAAGCACTTTTTCACAGTTGCCATGTAGCCTTGTTTTTAATGGCCATACATTATAACCAAAGACCAGACCGTTTCCTTTCCTTCAGCCTGGTTATGTCTGGGGTAGGAGGCTTGGGGTTTCTTTGCCAGCTGAACGCTCATCATTACCTTTTGCTCTTTTTTTTTTCTCCTTCTCTAGGGACCAAGTTTTTAGGATTAATGTCAGGAATGGAGACGAGATCAGCAAATTGAGTCAGCTAGTGAATTCCAACAACTTGAAGGTACCTGGTTCTTCTTAGCTCTCCCGAGTGTCTTCTAACTTTGGTGGGAGAAGACTCTTGCTCTCCTGGTGTGATTATTTTTATTTCCAAAGAGTCTCTGAATATAATCCCGTGTTAGTCCACTTGCCATTTACACAATTGAGGGGGCCAATGAGAGAGGGAGCACTGTAGATTGTGTCATGGCGGTGGAGTCCTGGGAGAAGGGATGCTTGAACAGCAGGCTCCATCCTTCTAGATGCCATCCACTTACGACGCTTGGTCTCTGCCAGATACTGCTTGTTGGGCAGGTCTGAGCAGACACAATTGTGAAATGGGCAGACTTTGCCCTTGGGCAGAGCCCAGCCTCTCAGGGATCACCCTGGCTTTTGGCAGTGTCCTAGAAGAATGAGCTTATTGTACCCGAACTGTCCTTTAATCTGGTTTAATTTTTGTTCTCTTCAGCTCAATGTCTGGAAATCTCCCTCCACCTTCAATCGGCCTGTGGATGTCCTGGTCCCATCTGTCAGTCTGCAGCCAGTTAAATCCTTCCTGGCATCCCAGGGCTTGGAGTACGAAGTGACAATTGAGAACCTGCAGGTAGGTAGACTAAGCCCCCCGCCTCCTGATCTTGCATAGGATCAAGCAGCCAGTCCAGAGTAGGCGGGAGAGATTTGCAAGTTCTGGTTTTATCCTTTTCTATTCTATAGATGAGGAAATTGAGGTAAATGGAAGTGAAGTGCAGTGACTTGTTACATTTTATAGTAGAAGGGGCATAAATGGGCCAGGGAACCACACAGATTTGGATCCAAATCCTGATTTTGCTAACTGCTAGTGCTGTGTGCTGTGTCTTTGGACAAGCCATTAACCTGCAGAGCCTCTGTTTTTTCATCAGTAAAATGGTAACAGTGAGACATACGTCATGTGATTTGTTGAGAAGATTCAATATGTAAAATGTCTAACAGTACCCGGCATATCCTAGATGAGCCTTAAGTCATAAGTCCCTCTTTCTTTTCTTCTTTGAAGTCAGGTGGCAAGAGCAGAGCAGGGGGAGGGTGTTGGTTGGGGACCACCCTTTAAGACGGGGGAATGTCATCGACAGCCGCCAGCAGAGGGAACGCCATCCGCTAGCCTCACGACCTGTATCTGAACAACAGGACAGTGTCTGGCTCATGCTGTCTCCTTCATCGAGGTGTGTTGTGGACTAATTGGTGATCCGGCCCGGGAGTTTCCTGATGGCATTAGCAGCTATAAGATTATTAATCATCCTCACATGTCACAGACATCTGCCAGGAACCTTCAAAGTATGAGTGGTTATAAGAATGTCTTTGTTTCTGAATGGCTTCCCAAGCTGTGTATTTCAGAGACACTGGATACCAGATGTGGCCTGATGTCTAGAGAATTTGTACTGTAGAGTATATGAATATAGAGTATACAAAGAGCACATATGTTGCTTCCAGGGAGTAAGTGGGTTTTGAATAAGGTGATGTAAGTTGGACACCAAGAAGTACATTTATTTATTTATTTTTTGAGACGGAGTCTCGCTCTGTCGCCAGGCTGGAGTGCAGTGGTGCAATCTTGGCTCACTGCATCCTCCGACTCCCTGCTTCAAGCAATTCTCCTGCCTCAACCTCCCGTAGCTGGGATTACAGGCATGTGCCACAACGCCCAGCTAATTTTTGTATTTTTAGTAGAGATGGGGTTTCATCATATTGGCCAGGATGGTCTCGATCTCCTGACCTCATGATCTGCCTACCTCAGCCTCCCAAAGTGCTGAGACTACAGGCACAAGCCACTGCCCAAGAAGTAAAATGAGTAAAATGTTAGAAAGATATGAAAGAAGTCTGACCCCATTTTAAACCTTGACATTTGTGCTGCTTGATGTGCTGCTTGATATGATATTTCTGCCAAGATATGGCAGAAAAACCATAAACCTACATCTGCAGTGCATCAGTTCACAACATTGCTGTGTTTTCAGGCCCTTTTAGACAATGAAGATGAAGAAATGCAACAGAATGAAGGGCAAGAATGGAGCAGTAATAACTTCAACTACGGGGCTTACCATTCTCTGGCAGCTGTAAGTATTTCAGAGTGAGTCAAGATCAAGGTTCTCTACCTCCTTACTTCGGGGAGACATTAGTCTTCAGCACAGTATCCCCTCACTGAAGGGCTAAAATATGTACATTTCAATTCCTTTCTAGTTCTTGGATTGCTTAACTCCTACCAGCACCTGAGAGTGTCATGAACTACAACTTGACATTTCCCTCCTCAGCCATCCTTCTTTCCTTAAGCAACTCCTTAAGAACACCATGAAAATAATTGCAATCATTTCTAGTCATTGTAATTCAACCTTCTTCTACCCTACCATAAAGCCCTCTATTTTACTCACCCAGCATAAAATGTTACTTATTCCAGGCAGGTAGACAAGTGGCGATTTCTAAGGTTAACCAAATATTTCCACTCGTTTATCATGACTACTTATAATGTATGTATTTGTTCCATCATGTGTTTTGGTGCTGTGTTTAGTTAGAAACCACTTGATTTCGATGGCTGACTTTCAAGGTAAGCCAAACCTTCAAGTGAAAAACCTGAAGCAGAATAATTTCCTAGGATACTGGAACTTAAGAAATCAAGAGAGACTGTCGAATCGAACTGCATCATGAATGTGGTACAGTTCTCTTACACCCCTCAGGGTCATCATCTTCGTTCATCTGCAGACCACGAGCACAGGAACACACCCCCACATCTAAATGAGTGTCCCCCTTCATGTACCTTAATACATCAAGGCATATGCTTTGAGTTGTTTCTCTTCTTGAAGGAGGATTTCAAAGGTTGACTATTTCCACTTCTTTCCCATGCTTGTCAGTAGCTTTGTTTATGGAATACACTTCCAACTGCACTGCCCCTTCATCCCCCTTGTGACCAATGACATACATGTGCGAAACAGCTGGATAAAGTTAGGAGTTCAGTCTCAGGCCATGGAGGAATGCAGAGCTCAGAGCCCACATAGGAATCAGGCCCATGACGTCAGCCTCATGAATGTGGGGCCCTTGCCAGCTGAGCTAACCAGTTGCAAATGTCACCCAAGACCCTGGAGGGGCCATCCCCTCATCTGCTGGCTGCTGGAGCCTCACTGTCTCTCGCACTCACCTCTGGTTTCTCTGGTTTGAGGTGCCCTTTGCAGCCTGGCTTACAGCAATCTTGTCCTCACACTGTGACACCCTCCACTGTGGATTGGTGTGCCACCACCCTCCCAGCTTGGTTATATGCAGTTCTTTCTAAAAACAGCTTTTAAGAACTCATATTCTAGGCTGGGCACGGTGGCTCACACCTGTAATCCCAGCACTTTGGGAGGCTGGGACAGGCAGAACACTTGAGGTCAGGAGTTCCAGATCAGCCTGGCCAACATGGTGAAACCTGGTCTCAACTAAAAAAATACAAAAATTATCCGGGCGTGGTGTGGGCACCTGTAGTCACAGTTACTTGGGAGGCTGAGGCAGGAGAATCACTTGAAACAGGAAGTGGAGGTTGCAGTGAGTCGAGATGGTGCCATTGCACTCCAGCCTGAGTGACGAAGCAAGACTGCATCTCAAAAACAAAGAAACAAACAAACAAACAACTCATAGTCTATAATCACTTAGGCTTTCTTAGGTCTCTAGTGGGAATCTCATGCTTGTCTCTGCTAGAGTTTCTGGTTCCAAAGCTCTTATTTGTGTGGTGGGCAGTGTGAATTTGCACCCCACACCTGGACACAGCTTGGTGTTTTAACTTTTCCTGGTGATTCTCTTTTCTCTCAAGGTTCAAGGCAGCCATCCTGCTTTTCCTCCACTCTCTAGGGTCAGTGGGTAGAGTGGGTAGACTCTCCAGGCCCTATTTGAGGCCCAAATTGCCCGTTCCTAGCTCTCAAATTCCAGCTCCTTATCCCATGCTGGGTCCTATGCCTCCCCTCCTAGTTTCAGTTTGCCTAAGCCCGCAGCACCCAAGGCAGAGATGGGATTTTGTGGCATGAGCTCTCACCCTCCACCTTTCTAGTTAGTTCCTTCTTTGTTTCTGGCACCTACAGTTTCCTCTTGTTCAGCTTTTAAACTTGGCTATGAATCATTTTTCTTGTATTTTACCTGGTTGGCCTATGCATTTGGAGGTGGTTTCTTGCTGCTGCTCAGTCTACCATATTGATGGCAAGTCTGATAAACCGTTTAAGCTTGACTTTGTTCTGTATCAATTACACATTTTCCTCCTCTGTAGAGTTTCTTCTTCTAGTCTTAAAGCCAAAACAAATACATGTGTTTATTTTCTTTTGGCCCTCAAGTGGTTTGAACAACTAAGATGGGTAAATTCTATTTATATCAAACTTTTTTCCTGAAAGCAAATAAGGGTATCCTTAGCCATTTATTTACCTTTCTTCACTGCGTTCACAATGCCTTTAGAGAATTATCTGTAAAGCAGGGCATGTGTATCCATGGGGTATAAGCAAGATAGTCCACTACAATGAAGGAAGAAACAATTACAACGTCTATTCATATTTCTACATATATTTATGTGTACTAGTAACACAACCATTTCAATTGTTTAATAATGTACATAATATATTTGTATCATTGTGTGTGTGTGTCTGTGTGTGTACATATATATGGTGTATGCTAATTTTTAATTTTTTTTGAGTAAAGAAAGTGATCACAGAAGTTTGGAGTACTGTTTTTAAGAGCCTTGGAGCTCTTTCTTTTTTTATTTTTCAGACAAGACTTCACTTGTTGCCCAGGCTGGAGTGCAGTGGTGCATTCACGGCTCACTGTAGCCTAAACCTCCCAGGCTTGAACGATTCTCCCACCTCAGCTTCCCGAGTAGCTGGGACCACAGGCACATGCCTCTGCAGCTGTCTAATTTTTTTTTCATTATTTGTAGAGTTGGGTGGGGGGGGGGTCTCCTTACATTGCCCAGGCTGGTCTTGAACTCCTGGGCTCAAGTGCTTCTCCCATCTTGGCCTCCCAAAGTTCTGGGATTATAGGCACGAGCCACCGCACTTGGCTTGTTTTTATTTTATTTTATTATATTCTTAAATTTCTTTCTTTTTTCCCTCTTCTGTATTTTTCATGAATAATTTTTGGTTTTGAATGTTAGATAGGGTCTCACTACGTTGCCCAGACTGGTCTCAAACTCCTGGCCTCAAGCAATCCTCTTGCCTCAGTTTCCCAAAGTGCTAGGACTACAGGCATGAGCCACTGCGTCTGGCCTCTTGTCTTTCACTGTCCAGTCTAGCACGGAGCAAAAGGACACCCTTTTAGGGTAATATCTGGAAAAGTCTCTCTACCTAGTTAAGTGGAGTACGATTTTGTGAACAAATAAAGTGTGCTACTCTCTAGAAAACTGTAGAAAAGGACTCCTCAAGCAGTTCTCATAATCAGGATTTTATTTATTTATTTATTTTAAATAAAGACGGGGTTTCACCATGTTGGTCAGGCTGGTTTTGAACTCCCGACCTCAGGTGATCCGCCCGCCTTGGCCTCCAAAGTGCTTGGATTACAGGCATGAGCCACTGCGCCCGGCCATAATCAGGATATTCATGCTGATAATATGGTCAACTCCAAGATCAGGGTACTGGAAGAGGTAATTAAGACCGGACAGGTAAAGTTTGCAGATACCCAGCCAGAGCTAAGCAGATTTTTAAAATGTCCCTGGCCTCACTGTTTCATGTTTCAGATTTACCATGAGATGGACAACATTGCCTCAGACTTTCCCGACCTGGCTAGCAGGGTGAAGATTGGACATTCGTTTGAAAACCGGCCGATGTATGTACTGAAGGTGAGGCCACGTGCACTTGGAAGGGTCTCCTGGGTCCCCATATCCAGGACCCAAGCCTCAGACCTCTGAAAAGGGCAGCTTTTTGCACTCCTTGACTTCAGGGAGGAACACGAGGTCGGGACACATTGTACCTAGGTGGAACTTGGTCTGACAGAGTCCCCTGCTTTTGTCTAATGCGGGGAGTGTTAGAAGGAATGCATCCCATTCCAAGTTTTGGCTGAAAGACAGGATCAGAGGGAGGCGATTAGTATTCCAGAAAGCTCTCAGGTGGGACAGAGTCTTTTGCTTTCATTCTCACCTCTGTAAATAGCAGGACAAGTTGGGATGGGCCAGAGACTTCTATTCTGATTTCAGGGGATACTTATTGGAAAATCAAGCTAGGAAGCAAATTTGAGGGTTGGTGTAATTTTAAGCCCAGCTTCTGATCCTTGGCTGTACAAAGCCTCATTTCCAAATATATCTAACAGATTCAGGTCTAAAAGAGGTAGAGAACTAGGATCATGACATAAATTACATAAATAATCCAGCTGAATGAATAAGAAGGCATTTGGGCATATAACCCATGGAACAACTGATGGTGCTAAGAATCTGCCAAACCCTTAGCTTCATATAAGTTCCAAAGAACTCAGGCTTATAGCACCAGGCAAGTGACCAGTGGGGAGAAGACCTGCTGCGGAGCTGGTTGCTCTAGAATAATTACATTTAAATAATTTGCCAATCTGATGGAGACCCTGGCTTCATTAGCATCAAGCTCTCACCCAAGGGGGCCCAACACTATGGCAGAGGCAGGAGCCAGGATTCATGACTGTCATTTACAAAGAGCTATAGCGAGCCTCCCTTTTAATTTTAAACCAAATTCATTTATCGTATCGACCAAAACAGCCTGGTTCGTGTACCCTTTTGTCTCTGGCTGTTGGGACACCATTTGAGGTCTTTCAAGAGACATAACATTATCTCTAATGGCACCGGCATCATAATCCACGGTAACGATGGTTTCCTCTTCCATTTGCTGTGAATGCTGGAGAGATTCGGGCTGCCTGGAGCTGCACTTGGCCCCGCAGCCAACCAATTAAGCTTCCTGGTCACGGATAAACTCAATAAATAGATGGTGCCCTTAGGAACATTTGGTCCCTGAATTATCTTAAATGAATTAAATAAATGGGAGAGAGCTGGGGAGAGGAGAAGGGAGCGGAGGTGCGGGCAGGCAGGTCATTTTTGAGCTTCTTCTCCCTTCTGCAGTTCAGCACAGAGGAAGGCGTGCAGCGGCCGGCCATTTGGCTGAATGCAGGCATCCATTCCCGAGAGTGGATCTCCCAGGCCACTGCAATCTGGACGGCAAGGAAGGTCATATCACCTGGTATTAGCCAAGAATGCTGATGGGCCTGGGGTGCCCTGAAGCATACCACGTGGCTGGGTCTGGGGCATGAGGTGGGAGGGTGCTCTGCTAAGACCCACTTGGCTGGGGGCCCTTTCAGATTGGAGAAGCAAATGGTCAAAGCCCCTTGGTCACCTCACTGAGGCCAAATGATTGAGTGTGTTCGTGGTGGTGAGCAAGCTGATATGCAGTAGAAGTGGGCCTGAGCCTCTGAGCACAGTCCACCCCCCAGAAAGGGAGCAAAGCAACACCCAGACAAGGCCCCATAGGCCCTTGGGGACCTCACGCCATCTCCATCTCCTGGGAAGGCTGCTGGGAGTGGAGGAAGGGTGCATGTGGAGAACACATCTTCCCTCCCTCTTCATTGGAGGTTCAAATTCCTAGAAACTATGATGATGTGTGATTCCCTCCTCCTGGAAGGAAGGAATAAAGCATGCGCCCCAGGACTCACTGCCGTTGATGTCATCAACAGCCATGTCCCCAAGCAGCCATGCCTCTCCAGGCTTTGAAGGGCTCAGAGGGCTGTGCAGAGAGCTGAGCCTCTGAGGGTGGTAGGGAGGCTTTTGAGGGTAGATGCTGTTCGAGGAGCATCCATTCTAGCTGGTTGCCAGGCATCTTGGGAAGATACATGGCTCAGACCTAATGACCCAGCCTGCGATGGGATAGCTAACAAGCATGTTGTCTCTGCTTAGATTGCATCTGATTACCAGAGGGATCCAGCTATCACCTCCATCTTGGAGAAAATGGATATTTTCTTGTTGCCTGTAGCCAATCCTGATGGATATGTGTATACTCAGACTCAAGTGAGTAGTCCCAAGTGGGCCGGGCTTGGAGATTGTTGAATTCCTTGCTTTGCCAGGAACTAATTGTCTGACCTTGGAGAGGATTTCCACAAATGTGCACATTATGAGCTTCCTTGAGATTTCATTTTCTAGTCATGCTCAGAGCTGAGAATCACCAAGGGATATTTTTTCTTAGAGAAAATTGTCTAATGAACCCCCATCATGAATCTTAACAATTACCAACATTTCACCAATCCTCTTTTCATCTCTTACCCTCCCACACGTTTTTCCTGACGTATTTAAAGCAAATCAACACATTATGTTACTTCACTTCAAATTACTTTGGTATGCATCTCTAACTGATGATAAAAAAAAAAAGCACCGTAAAAAAACCCCATGGTGCTCCTATCACCTTTAAAGGATTAACAGAGGTTCTTTAACATCATCTGACACTCACAATTATCTTTAAAATGGAGGCTGAGGCAGGCAGATCACCTGAGGTCAGGAGTTCGATCGAGACAAGACTGGCCAACATGGTGAAACCCCGTCTCTTTTAAAAATGCAAAAATTAAGATCCAAGATGGCTGACCACTAACAGCTCAGGATTGTAGCTCCCAGTGAAAGCCCAGAGAACGAGACGACGCCACACTTTTAGACGAATTTTCGTCACTCACCGATCAGCCGATTCCCAGTGGAGGAGCCCCACGGATTGCCAGCGCGACTCTTGTGGCCGCCGCAGCGGTTTTGCCGGCGTCTCGGCGCAGCAGCTCTTCATGCAGAGCCAACGGGACCGCTTCCCCTACTGACCGGAGTTTGGAGCTCTGGGAACTCAGAGCCGCTTGTTGCGGACTCAAGAGGGAAGCCAGACCAGAGATTCCCGGGCAGAAGAGCACCATCAGTCTTACCACTGCTATTTAGGCCGCCACAGTGGGTTGCTCGGATCCCAGCACTGGGAATCAATAAGTCGGACGTCGACTCAGAAACCTAATTAGAAAGGCGGTTCATCTACAATGAAGGGAAAAAAACAGCCTCAGAAGGCCGAGTATACTCAAAATCAGAACCCATCAGCAACGGAACAAGCCCTGATGGAAAAGGACTCATTAGCAACCGAACAAGCCCTGATGGAAAAGGACTCATCAGTAACAGAACAAGCCCTGATGGAAAAGGACTCATCAGCAACCGAACAAGCCCTGATGGAAAAGGACTCATCAGTAACGGAACAAGCCCTGATGGAAAAGGACTCATCGGTAACGGAACAAGCCCTGATGGAAAAGGACTGTGTTCCATTATCTGAAGTAGGCTTTAAAAGGTGGATGATAAGAAACTTCTGGGAGTTAAAGGAACTTGTTCTAACCCAATGTAAAGAAACTAAGAACTTGGAAAAAAGATTAGATGAAATGTTGAAAAGAATAGACAATATAGAGAGGAATACAAATGAACTTATGGAGTTGAAAAATACAACACGAGAACTTAGTGAAATATGTACAAGCTTAAACAGCCGAATGGATCAAGCAGAAGAAAGGGTATCAGAGGTCGAAGACCAACTTAATGAAACAAAACGACAAGACAAGAATAGAGAAAAAAGGATAAAAAGGAATGAGCAAAGTCTCCAAGCAATATGGGACTATGTGAAAAGACCTAATATACGCTTGATTGGTGTACCTGAATGTGACGGAGAGAATGAATTCAAGCTGGAAAATACTCTCCAGGACATTATCCAGGAAAATTTTCCTAATTTAGCAAAGCAGGACACTATTCAACCCCAGGCAATACAGAGAACACCACAAAGATATTCCTCAAGAAGACCAACCCCAAGGCACATAATCGTTAGATTCACCAAGATCGAAACGAAGGAGAAAATATTAAGGGCAGCCAGAGAGAAAGATCAAGTTACCCATAAAGGTAAGCCTATTAGGCTTACAGCAGATCTCTCAACATAAACCCTACAAGCTAGAAGAGAGTGGGGGCCAATATTCAATATACTTAATCAACAGAACTTTCAGCCCAGAATTTCATATCCTGCCAATTTAAGCTTTACATTTGAAGGAAAAATAAAATCTTTTAGGAACAAGCAAGTACTCAGAGATTTTATTACCACCAGGCCTGCTTTACAAGAACTTCTAAAAGAAGCATTATACACAGAAAGGAACAACCAGTATGACCCTTTCTAAAAATACACCAAAAAGTAAAGAGCATTAACATAAAGAAGAATTTTTATCAACGAAAGGACAAAATAGCCAGTTAATATCAAATGGCAGCAACCCTAAATTTAAATCGACCAAATCTCCCAATCACAAGATACAGACAAAATCCAGCGGTATATCCAAAGATATACATAGACTCAAAATAAAGGGTTGGAAAAAAAAAAAGTACCATCCAAATGGAGAGCAAAAATAAATAAATAAAAAGCAGGAGTTGCAATTTTCACATTTGACAAAATAGATTTCAAAGCTGCAAGGGTAAAAGGATTAATGTAATAATAAGAGATCTTAACGCCCAGATACATAAGACCCATAATGAGATTTAGATTCAACGAGACAGAAAATTGATAACGATATCCGGGACTGGAACTAAGATCCAGAACAAATAAACTCAATAGAGCTCTCCATTTTAAACACACAAAATATACATTATCCACAAAATCTAACGATATATCTAAAGATATACAAAGACTCAAAACAAGGGGATGGAAAAAAACTCACCAACCAAATGGAGAGCAAAAATAAAGAAATAAATAAAAAGCAGGAGTTGCAATTCTCACACTTAATAAAATAGATTTCAAAGCTACAAGGATGCAAGGGTAAAAGGATTAATGTAACAATAAGAGATCTTAACACCCAGATACATAAGACACATAATGAGATTTAGATTCAATGAGACAACAAATTGATAACGATATCCAGGACTTGAACTCAGAGCCAGAACAAATAAACACAATAGAGGTCTCCATTTTAAACACATAAAATATGCATTAACCACTTTATTGATCGTCCATTATTGAAACCCATTTTAGGAATGAAGTAATATTCCTTTTTCCCTCTTTTTCTTTTTTTCCCCTTCTTTTTCTCTTTTTCCCTCTAAAAAAAAAAAAAATGCAAAAATTAGCCAGGTGTGGCGGTGCATGTCTGTAATTCCAGCTACTTGGGAGGCTGAGGCAGGAGAATCACTTGAACCTGGGAGGCAGAGGTTGTAGTGAGCTGAGATTGCACTACTGTACTCCAGCCTCAGTGACAGAACAAGATTCTGTCTCCCCCAAAAAAGTCTTTTAAGAGTCAATTTGTTCAAGTGGGAACCCCACAAGGTCTACACATGTGTTTGGTGCTGTGTCTCTGTGGTCTCTTTTATTCTACAACAGCACCACAGAGACCTTTAAAAAGTGTCACTCATTTAGGGGAGAATTTGTCCTGTATACAGTGTCTCACATTCCGAATTTGGCTGATGGCTTCTTTGTTGTGTCATTTAGTCTGTTCCCTTATCCCCTGTATTTCCTATTGACCAATTGCTAGGTCTAGAGCCTGATTGGATTCAGGAGTGTTTTTTAGGCTAGCAAGAAACAGGGGCTGTGCACATCCAGTTACATCCGTTATCATCGAGGTTTACAGTGTCCATTTGTTCCACTTCTGCCAAAGCCAAAAAATTGTTCAGTGGATTCAGGCGGTATCTGACTGGTTCTAGCATATAAGGGTCTCATCAGTACATTTGGAAGAAGTCCTTCTCTTAGAGCCAGAAGGGGAAACACTCCTCGGTCTGCAGGAGGAGAGATGACTGCTCAGTCAGTGAGGACTGGAGCCCCAAGGCCCTCCCAGCAGAACTGCAAGCAGCCTGCCCTGGCCGTGTGTCATCTCCACCCTAGCTCTCTTCGGTGCTCTGATCTGCCTCAGGTTGTTTGTCCCCTCCCTGGTGGCTTTTCCAGAATCGATTATGGAGGAAGACGCGGTCCCTAAATCCTGGAAGTCCCTGCGTTGGTACTGACCCAAATAGAAACTGGAACGCTAGTTTTGCAGGTAGGTGTGGGGAGACAGTTCTCAAATCCTGCTTCCCTGGGCTAGTCTGGTCTACCCGTGCTCTGAGCTGGCCGGGATGGAGCCCGTTTCTACTCTGTTTTCATTGCTGAGTCACTGAGAGACTGAGGCGCATTCCTTAGGCTCCGACTTAGTGTTTTGTTTGTTGTTGGTTTTTTTTTTTTTTTGAGATGGAATCTTGCTCTGTTGCCCAGGCTGGAGTGCAGTGGTGTGATCTCGGCTCATTGCAATCTCTGCCTCCTGGGTTCAAGTGATTCTCCTGCCTTGGCCTCCTGAGTAGCTGAGATACATGGTTCAGACCTAATGACCCAGCCTGCGATGGGATAGCTAACAAGCATGTTGTCTCTGCTTAGAGATTACAGGCACATGCCACCATGCCTGGCTAATTTTTGTATTTTTTTTTGAGACGGAGTTTCGCTGTTGTTACCCAGACTGGAGTGCAATGGCACGATCTTGGCTCACCGCAACCTCTGCCTTCTGGGTTCAAGCAATTCTCCTGCCTCAGCCTCCCGAGTAGCTGGGACTACAGGCGTGCACCACCATGCCCAGCTAATTTTTGTATTTTTAGTAGAGACGGGGTTTCACCATGTTGACCAGGATGGTCTCGATCTCTTGACCTTGTGATCCACCCACCTCGACCTCCCAAAGTGCTGGGATTATAGGTGTGAGCCACCGTGCCTGGCCTGTATTTTTTTTTTTTTTTTTAGTAAAGATGGGTTTTCACCATGTTGGCAGGATGGTCTCAATCTCCTGACCTCGTGATCCACCCACCTTGGCCTCCCAAAGAGGCCAGAGATTACAGATGTGAGCCACTGAGCCCAGCCTTTTTTTTTTGTTTTTGAGACAAAGTCTTGTTCCACAGGCTAGAGTGCAGTGCGGGATCTCAGCTCACTTTCACTGCACCCTCTGCCTCCCAGGTTCAATTGATTCTCCTGCCTCAGCCTCCTGAGTAGCTGGAATTACAGATGTAGGCCACCACGCCCAGCTAATTTTTGTATTTTTAGTAAAGACAGAGTTTCTCCATGTTGGCCAGGCTGGTCTCAAACTCTTGACCTCAGGTTGCCCTCCTGCCTCAGCTTCCCAAAGTGCTGGGATTACAGGCGTGAGCCACTGCACCTGGGAAGTTTTTTTTTTTTTTGAGACAGAGTCTTGCTCTGTTGCCAGGTGCCAGGCTGGAGTGCAGTGGTAGGATCTCCGCTCACTGCAACCTCCACCTCCTGAGTTCAAGCCATTCGCCCACCTCAGCCTCCTGAGTAGCTGGGACTACAAGCAGGCGCCACCACACCCAGCTAATTTTTATATTTTTTAGTAGAGATGAGGTTTCACCATGTTGGCTAGGATGGTCTTGATCTCTTGGCCTCGCAATCCACCTGCCTAGGCCTCCCAAAGTGCTGGGATTACAGATGTGAGCCACTGCGCTTGGCCATTTGTTGTTTTTTAAAATGTATTATTTTTTACTTTGAAAGGGAATGATAGTAATGTCTGTCCTCCCGAGAGAATGGTGAGACAGAGCATCATTACATTGAGATTGCAATCTACACTAATATTTTTAAAACACCTCCTCTTAGATATACGAAACGGGAAGCCTTCCTTATCCCTGACCTTACCAGCCCTGCCTGGGCAAGTTGTGAGTGGGCAGAGGGACTCCTGGCAGCACCTCACAGGGAGCAATTAGCACTGTCACCCCAACAGGCAAGACTGTGCTATGAAAATCCCACTCCAGTACGCTTAGATATCAACCTTAGCAGCTGGCTGTCACGGAAAGGAAAAGAGAATTAGCAGACCTGGGCTCTGAGTGCCAGCGATTTAAAAACCACCCTCCGCAAAAGTGCTGACTGTGTACAAGTACCTTCCGGTATTTATCGTATTTATTCTTCTCGCCTAGCGAGTGAATTTTGTGATCTGAAATGAGATGGTTGAAGCTCAGAGACAATCTCAAGATGACGTGGGTGATCAGAGTGCTGATCTCAACTCACCTTCCAATTCCAAATCTAGACCGTTCTCTTTCACTGTTCCTCGGCTGTACTGATGGGTTATTTTGGTGAGACAGGGTTGTGCTTTGCTTTGTCATCCAGGCTCATGCTTAGTCATCCAGGCTGGAGTGCAGTGGTGTGATCACGGCTCACTGCAGCCTTGAAATCCTGGGTTCAAGCGATCCTCCCACATCAGCCTCCTGAGTAGCTGAGATTATAGGCACACGACACAATGCCTGGCTAATTTTTGTGTTTTTTTGTGGAGATGGGGTTTTGCCATGTTGCTCAGGCTGGTCTTGAACTCCTGGGCTTAAGAGATCCTCCCATCTCAGCCTCTCAAAGTGCTGGGATTACAGGCATGAGCCACTGCGCCTGGCCCTGATGGTTTGCTTTTAATGTACTTCTTTTACTTGTATGGAAATGCCACAAAAACCACTGGGGGAAAAAAATGACTGTGGGAAAAACGAAACTTTGAAACTCAGGGTTTCAAAGTTAAGTTAGATATTTCCACCACTGGGGTGGTTTCAGTCGCACTCATACACACACACAGACACACACAGGCATGTGTGCACCACCCCCCCCCCAGAAACCTGAGGGAGCTACATTATGAAGTAATACAGAAGGCAGTGTTTCTAAATACCTGTCAAATAATCAAGAGATTTTAGCCACAACAATTGATTATTTCTGACACACTTGGCCTTTAAGATCTGAACCAAGAGAATAAGTTGACACCAGAATAAATTGAGTCATTTTCATTATTTATTGGTATTCATATTAATTATCTAGACTACTTATTAATTACAACTCATTCTTGAGGGTGATATTAATTATTTATGACAACTCCCTTTGGTACAATGCAGGGTCAACTCTACAGTTTTTCTCCTCAGCTGTAGCAGACCCAACTCCCAACCCTCCCTCTTCCGGACCTTCTCTGCAGTCCATGCCCACCGTGGATTAGTGCTCAGGGCTGCCTCGCCGTGGCCTGTCTGTTGCCAATACCTTTGGCCCCTCCTCTGGGTTGAGTGTCTTGCGCTTCTGTGTTCTTAGACTATGAGTTAACGTTTCTGCTTGGGCTGACCCCAACAGGAATGGGAGCCAGCGACAACCCTTGCTCCGAAGTGTACCATGGAACCTATGCCAATTCGGAAGTGGAGGTGAAATCGGTGGTAGATTTCATCCAAAAACATGGGAATTTCAAGTGCTTCATCGACCTGCACAGCTACTCGCAGCTGCTGATGTATCCGTATGGGTACACAGCCAAAAAGGCCTCTGATGCTGAGGAGCTGGTGAGTCACAGCTGCCTGCCACCCAGCCCGGGGCCCTCCTGACCCTTCTGGTGCTGCTAAGGCGGTAGCTCTGCAGCTTTATAGGGAAGATCCAGGAGCCTGAGCATGTTTCATTGAAGGCCCAGTCTTCTCTCCCTGCCCTGTGGGATATGCCGTCATCTGCTGTGCCTGCTATGAGTTCCCAGAACCATGCCCACCCCTGCCTTCCTTCTACCTTGTTTTTCTGACTGCAATGTATTACGGACCCAGTGCTTGCCAAGGACTGTGGGTGGCACCCGGGTGGGCAAGGGGAAAGCTCCTCACTCTACTGAAGGAAGAGTTCAAGGAGGGTGAAGGCCACAGCCTGGGGTGCCCTGTGTCTCATCCAGAATGTGGGCCATCAGGAGCAGGGCTGGCGTCTGTAGGGTGACTGCAGGTAGCTGCCCAGGCCCACAGCCAGCCCTTAAACCTTGGGCAGATGCAGCCCCTCCTGGGCTCATGGCAAAGTTGGGGCTAGATTCTGCTCCCCCACCCCCACGAGGCCTCTCAGGCAGGCACTTTACACAGGGATCATCCACCTGTGGAGTTCCTCCTCCTTCTCCACTCTGCCACACCCGACTCTTTGAGAGCCTTCTCTAGAACATACTTGGCTTTCCTTCATGTCCCTGTGTGTGACGTCCCCCTCCTCAGGACAGGTGAAGAGGGTGGTGCCTTTACTAGATTCCTAGCGGGTCAGTAAGCAGCCCCAGATCCCCCATCTCTTCCAGTCTGAGTACATAACACACAGGCTGCCCCTTCCTTCCTCACCTCCTTCCCCACACTGGGAGTCAAGAACTGGGGGTGTGGTGGGAGAAGGAGTTGAAGGAACCATGCACCTCCCTCAGTTTATAGTTGGGCCTTGGGTCTCGGTGAAGGTGAAAGAGGGAACCAGAAAGGAAATCAGGGGAGGGGCTGAGAATCTTCCAAACCATCCCTGAGCAGAGCAGCTGAGGAAGGTCAAGCGTCAGGATCTATTCTTTCTCACTCCACGGATTCCCCCTTCCCAGGACAAGCTGGCGAGGCGTGCAGCCAAAGCTCTGGCTTCCGTGTCGGGCACTGAGTACCAAGTGGGTCCCACCTGCACTACTGTCTGTAAGTACTCCCTGTATTTATTAGTTATTTAGGAAGCACTGTGAGAGAAGACTCGAAACAGAGTAGGAGGAGAGCTGCGAGTGAGACTTCCTATTTGTCATCAGATTGTTTTTGTTGTTAATAATAGACTGAACTACATCACGCCTGTGTGGTGACAGCTGCTGCATGCAATCCTCTTCAACATCATTTCAAAAATTCCTCATGCCCACCCTTCCATTTTCGAAAGAAACCTACCTTTCAGTTGGTAAACTGATGGTGGTAGTGGAGTTGGGGGAGACTCCCTCACCTTCCTATAGGAGATGAACAAACATTGAGCCTGGGCAACATAGCAAGACCCATCTGATATGGTTTGGCTCTGTCCCCACCCAAATCTCATCTTGAATTCCCACATGTTGTGGGAGGTAATTGAATCATGGGGGCAGGTCTTTCCTGTGCTGTTCTCATGATAGTGAGTAAGTCTCATGAGATCTGATGGTTACTATAAGTGGGAGTTTTTCTGCACAAGCCTTCTTCTTGTAAGAATTAGAGAAAGAGGAAAGAAAGATGAAACACGGTTTAACAGTCAAAGACAGATTTATTCTGGGAGTAAACCCGAGAGGGGCTTCTGGCTGACTTCAGTCAGGAGCCTTCTCTCCTGCAGTTTAGGGGTGTTTAAAGGTTTAGGGAGGGGGAGCTTATTGCAGGTTCAGAATGTTTCTGTGTGAAGGAGAGTTTATTCCAGGTTGGAATATCCCTGATCAGAGGGGAGGTTATCTTGGGGTTGGCATATTTCTGGTCAGAGGGGAGGTTTATCTTAGGGTTTGAATATTTCTGGTCATGCTGACATTACCTATTGGGCTGATGTTTTGGGCTGGTTTTTAATCAAGGGTAACTTAAAATGGCGGTGTTTGCCCAAGATGGTGATGCTCCTGCTCTGTCGATCCAGACCCTATAGTTATAAAAGGACAAAGGGTGGCATGTCCTTTTACCTACTTCCTGCTGAGGGGGCATGGAGAGGTTTTTGGTCCTGGATTGACTGTGGGAGTAACACTATCTGCAGATATTTTGGGGGCAGTAGTCTGTGAGATGGCCATGATTCTGTTGGTTAAACATCTTTGAAAAAGGCTGATTAGGCAGGGTAAGAACATTAGTCCTAGGCTTATTATTAGAAGAGAGCCCAGGAATGGGATGACTTGTGTTACGGTTTTGTTTCCAAACCAATAATTGATTTGTTTGTTTTGCTATTCCCTTAGTTTTTCAGCCCTTTTAAAAAGTTTTTCAGCAGCGTTTCTTAATAGGCCCAGCTGGTTGAGATAGGAGCAACATTTCTTACCCAATGAGAGGCAGAGGCCCCCTTGTTGGGCTGTTGTAAGATTTATTCCCCATCTATTTTGAAGGACTACTCTGGTTAAGGAATCTAGTAGGTCTTGGGCTTTTATAAAGCTTTGGGCTGTATTTTTTAAAGAACCCTGTAGTTCTGTTGAGTTGTTTTTGTTTTTGTCTTTCTTTTTGAGATGGAGTCTCGTCCTGTCACCCAGGTTGGAATGCAATGGCTCCATCTCGGCTCATGCACCTCTGCCTCCCAGCTTCAAGCGATCCTCCTGCCTTAGCCTCCCAAGTAGCTGGAATTACAGGCGTGCACCACCAGCTAATTTTTGTGTGTGTGTATTTTTTAGAAGAGACAGGGTTTCACCATCTTGGCCACGCTGGTCTCGAACTTCTGACCTTGTGATCTGGCCACCTCGGCCTCCCAAAGTGCTGGGATTGCAGGCGTGAGCCACCGAGCCTGGCCAAAAGAATTTTAAAGTATGTTAAAGAGGGGGAAAATCTGCCTGCTCCCAATCCAAATTCGGAGGGCACACCTAAGGCCGCCATCAGAGAAATGACGCGGATGGCCCTCTTTTTTTAAAACTTATTGGACAGATAGAACGGGTAAAGGTTGAGTAGAAGGAATTAGTTTAATGGGGGGAGAAAGATAAACTATGGCACAGGCACCAGTTTAGTTGGTGGGGAGACAAAGATATGTGTTGGTGCCACACCAAAAGAACAAGCCTTTGTTGTAAGTACAGAGGGAGATACGGAAAGAAAACAAGTGAATTAAAGATGGGGTGTTTTTTCTTTCTTGTGGTTTATTACTCCAGATGGACAAGGCGGAGGCCAGGGAGACACCCACTATAGTGGAGATATAGGAAGTGTTGGTTTTTTTTAACACAACAATGCGGTCAGATGTTGCGCCATTGATAGTGAACCATGGGAAAGGGTGGGCGCTAGGAACAGCACAAGTTAGGCTGGAGGCATTGATTGAGGGAGAGGCTGTAAAACCAGTGGGTTGCACCGTTTGTTTCTGGCGATTCTTGGTAGTTAACTTAGTTTGATGGTCAGAGGGGTGTTTAATAATGATAGTGCATTTGCATTGGTTAGGTGTTAAGAACCCTACAGGGAAATTTTCCTTAGAGGCAAAGTGAGGCCCGTTGTAAAAGAGGGGCATGTTTAGTTATGGCCCCTTCAATGGGTGGGCACTGGGGCTTTAGGCGTTGTAGGGAGTTGTAATAGGTTTGGGAAATAATTTGTTGGCCTGATTGGTCCCGGAAGTGGGATGATCGCTGACCAGGGTGTCAGTTCTTTTAAAAAAAGGAAGCTCCTTTTGGGGGTTTATAAATCAGGGTTACGTTTCCTGTTAAAAGGTCATGCAGGGGTGTAGGAAGGGCTGTGTAAGCTGAGGAAGACAGACACAAACACGTCTAGCATTCCGGAGCAAAGGAACAGTTAGCTTGCAAGAGGAACCGTGCAACGTTTATACAGCATTCCAGTTTGAGAGCGGCGAGGAGTGGTTGTACTGGTGAGGCTGATGGGATTAGGGAATTTATATTGAAAGAAACAGACAAAAGGAGAAAAAAGTTATTTGCGTAGGAGTAAAGTTCTGGAAAGTTCTTTGAAGCCATAGGTCCCATAGTTCAGTAAGGAGCTGATCAGGGTGTATAGTGGGAATTTTGTAAGGGTGTCACCAAAGGTCTCTAAGGTTGGTTAGGAAGTGATGAAAGAAATATAAGCAACTGATGTGGATTTCTCTTCCTTTTTTTTGGGATTTGGGCGAGGCAAAGGGAAGTGGGTCATGTGGAGATACAAGAGAAGGCTGAAGGGGTTTTAGATGTGGTTGTTTGAGTGTATGGTGAAGGGAAGCCTGCCTTCTTGAGAGGAGTATCACGAAAGCAGTTGGGGAGTCTCTGGAGCTTTGCTGCCGTAGGCGTAGTGAGGATGATCTGGTAAGGTCCTTTCCATAGAGGGATGAGCCGGGAGCTGGGGATAGGGCTGGGGTCTGTTAACAGAACCCAGTCTCCTGGCTGTAGGGAGGGATTAGAAGAGTCGGTTACAGGTTGTGGCAGGCATTTGTCAGCATATTCCCAAATAAAACGGTGGATGGTATGCAGAAGAGGGGAAATAAGAGGGGTTAGAAGAGGTGGGGCTTGACTCTTGAGGTGGAACGAAAGGGGCAAGTGGTCTTTCAGACATGAGTTTAAAGGGGCTGAGCATTGGAGGTTTACGTGGGAGTGCCCGAATTTTTAGAAGGGCCAAAGGTAAAAGTGTAACCCAGTTCGTATGTGTTTGGTGAGTACCTGGTGAGGGTGTTTTTTAGAATGTGCTTCATTTTTTTCGACCTTTCCTGAAGATTGAGGTCGATGGGGGATGAGCAGCTTCCAGGTGATTGTAGGGTTTGTGCAAGTGTTACAGTAATTTGAGAAGTGAATTCAGGACCCTTATCAGATTGAAAAAAAAGAGGCGCCCCGAACCTGGGTATGATTTCTGTTATTAATTTGGAGGTGACAGTAGAAGGTTGTTTGTTAGATGAGAAAAGCCTTGATCCATTCCGAAAAGGTATTAACCAGAACAAAAAGAAATGGAATCTTTTTTGCCAGGGGAATATGGGTAAAATTAATTTGCCAGTCCTGTCCTGAAAGGTGTCCCCTGGCTTGATGGGTTGAGAAGAAAGGGGGTTTGGTTTTGGAATGGGGTGATGCTTTCTGGCAAATAGAGCTTTGATGGGAAATGGCTTTTAACTGTTCGTTTATATCTGGGGTTATGCGTATATGGGAACTGAAGAACTGTAGCGGGGAATGGCTCTGTGGAAGAGATTGTGGATATCTTATAAAAGAGTTGTTTTTTTCAGGGTTTGGTAGAACTAATTTGTTTTGTATGAACCAGTATGGGGGTTTGAATTGTGCCCCCTCCATAACTAGTTGCTGTATTTGGTGTTTAGGATAAAAGGAGGGATCTGTCGTATGAGGAGAAATAGGTAGTGGGGAATTGGATGATTGGTTGAGATGTGTTTTGCCCAGTAATCATCCTCATGGTTCCCTAAAGAAATGTAGCTCTTATCTGATTGATGTCCTTTGCAATGGATAATAATTCCAACGTTTTCTGGAAGTAAAGTGGCCTTTAATAGATGATAGATTAGTTTTCCATTAATGATAGGAGTTCTCTCAGCCGTGAGATACCCTGCTTGCTCCAAATTTGGGCATTGGAATGGATGATGTTACAGGCATATTTAGAATGGGTGTGTATATTAACTTGTGTGTTTTTTGCTAGAATTAGTGCTCTTATTAGGGCAACTGATTCTGCTTCTTGGGAGGATGTGCCCAAAGGCAAGGGGGCAGACTCTACAACTTTTGTAGGTGGGAGAGAGTGGGTATCATCATGCTATTCCTCAATAATGGCGTATCCTGCTTGGAGGGAGGGTTTTTTGATGTGCTGCCATTTATAAGGTAATTTGGGGCTCCCTTTATGTGAGTAGAAGGTGGTGAAATATCGTGAGAGAACTTTTAATTAGATCAGAGCATGAGTGTTCGTTGGGTTTAAAATTGGTGCTGAGGCTGGGCGTACTGCCTCACACCTGTAATCCCAGCACTTTGGGAGGCTGAGCGGGGGTGGATCACCTGATGTCAGGAGTTTGAGACCTGTCTGGCCAACATGGTGAAACCAGTCTCTACTAAGATACTTTAGCTGGGTGTTGTGTGCGCCTGTAA